AGCAATTTAAAGAAGTGCCCCATGCCACACCACTACAGAGTCTATGGGATACAAGTGCCCCCGCTCAAGAGAGTGGGCACACCAKGAGGTGACCTGCAGTTTTACCTGCCTGACCATGCTGAAGACCTGAGGAAGTRGRATGGAAAACCCACCTCTGCCTTGACAGCACAGGYATKTGAATTGAGAACAACCACCACAATAACTCTTCAAGGAAAAATGCTACTCYRGTTTCCAGTGGGCAAGTTTTCAGGCAGAATTGAAGGGCTGATGTTAYTTCTSATCCTCTTGRAGGGACGTCCAGATCATATTTACAAGAAGTGAGCAACGAGCTCTGTGACCAGAACTAGAGGGCSAGGTGTGGRAAAGGGACCGTGGGAGYTAYTGGACTGTGTGGATCCATGGCCTGGCACAGCAGAGCCACAAGAGTGTCAGGCTTTAGTTGGCACTGGTGCTAATTAGATATGTAGGGGCAGAATCCATCTCTATTTGTGGAATGCCAGGGGGATCACAACAGGGATTATACTGGGAGCTGAAGTGATCCTGACTGGGAATGAAGGGCAAAAACWCTCCATTGTGAGTGGTCTAGAGGCTTTGTGTGTCCTTGGAATAGATCACCTCAGGAGACGAGAGAGTATTTAAAAAATGCAAAAGGACATCATTGAGCTTTGGGAGAGCTGCTGTGGAGACAGAATTAAAGACACCTGAATTCCTTGTTTGTCTTCAGAGGTCTTTCAGAGGACTCTTCTGCTGGAAGCTTGTACCATATCCAGCAGAGCCAATACCTGATGGCTCTGAAGATGGACATGCTGCTGGCCAAGACTGGGCCAATTAGAGATGTTTGTAACACCTGTGTGATAACATGTTTAAGAAAATGAAAACAAAGGGGGCACACAGTTTTTTCTAGACAGAGAAGAGGAGGAGGTGAGAGCACGTGAGGGAAACAACATGGAGATGYCAAGGTCAGTGGAGAAAGAGGGGGAGGAGCTGCTCCAGGTGTCAGAGCCAAGATTCCTCTGCAGGCTGTGGTGATGACCCTGGTGGAGCAGGTTGTCCCCCTGCAGTCCATGGGGGTCCACGGGGGATTCAGAGATATACTCACAGCCTGTGGGAGAGGTAACCATGCCAGAGTGGGTGGATGCCTGGAGGAGCTATGATCCAGTGGGAGATCTGGTGGAAAGAGGGCATCCCTGCTTCCAAGCTGGAGCAGCCTGTCCTTGGAGGACTGCACCCCTTGGACGAGTGACCCGTGCTGCTGCAACTTTCAGAAGACTGCTGCTCATGAGGTTGGAACCAATCTGGAGAAGCTCACAGAAAACTGTCACGTGGGAGTGAGCTCTCGGGTGATGACCCGTCTCCCTGCCTTGTCACTGGGAAGAGGGGAGGGGACAGGGAAAAAAAGGTGCTTTTAAGGGTTATTTTACTTCTCATTATCCTCCTATGACTTTCTTAGTTATAAATTTACCTTGTACTTTCAAGTTGAGCTTGTTTTGCCCTTAGACTCTTTTCTCCTGGTCCTTATCTCAACTCCTGACCCCTTCACTAATCTTTTTTCCTCTCATCTGCCCAACTGTGGCAGGGGAGAGAGAGCAAGTGAGTGGCTGTCGTGGCTGCCTGGCATTTGGCCAATGTCAAACCATGACAGAGGAGCAATGACACTGGAAGCAGGACAGAACAACAGAGAAAAAAACAGGAAGAGGAGCATGAGATAAAGGGAGAGGAAGGCAGGGAGAAGGTTCCCAACTGGACTCTGTAAAATTACACCACAGAACTGTCTTTGATGGGACAATTCCTGGATGGATCACNATGTTTAAGAAAATGAAAACAAAGGGGGCACACAGTTTTTTCTAGACAGAGAAGAGGAGGAGGTGAGAGCACGTGAGGGAAACAACATGGAGATGYCAAGGTCAGTGGAGAAAGAGGGGGAGGAGCTGCTCCAGGTGTCAGAGCCAAGATTCCTCTGCAGGCTGTGGTGATGACCCTGGTGGAGCAGGTTGTCCCCCTGCAGTCCATGGGGGTCCACGGGGGATTCAGAGATATACTCACAGCCTGTGGGAGAGGTAACCATGCCAGAGTGGGTGGATGCCTGGAGGAGCTATGATCCAGTGGGAGATCTGGTGGAAAGAGGGCATCCCTGCTTCCAAGCTGGAGCAGCCTGTCCTTGGAGGACTGCACCCCTTGGACGAGTGACCCGTGCTGCTGCAACTTTCAGAAGACTGCTGCTCATGAGGTTGGAACCAATCTGGAGAAGCTCACAGAAAACTGTCACGTGGGAGTGAGCTCTCGGGTGATGACCCGTCTCCCTGCCTTGTCACTGGGAAGAGGGGAGGGGACAGGGAAAAAAAGGTGCTTTTAAGGGTTATTTTACTTCTCATTATCCTCCTATGACTTTCTTAGTTATAAATTTACCTTGTACTTTCAAGTTGAGCTTGTTTTGCCCTTAGACTCTTTTCTCCTGGTCCTTATCTCAACTCCTGACCCCTTCACTAATCTTTTTTCCTCTCATCTGCCCAACTGTGGCAGGGGAGAGAGAGCAAGTGAGTGGCTGTCGTGGCTGCCTGGCATTTGGCCAATGTCAAACCATGACAGAGGAGCAATGACACTGGAAGCAGGACAGAACAACAGAGAAAAAAACAGGAAGAGGAGCATGAGATAAAGGGAGAGGAAGGCAGGGAGAAGGTTCCCAACTGGACTCTGTAAAATTACACCACAGAACTGTCTTTGATGGGACAATTCCTGGATGGATCACMGTAGTGCAGTTGGTCCGAGCTCCCTTGGCAGCCCTTCMMAGGACTCAGCAGGTGGGAGAAGTGGCCTCACCTGGTGGGGAGGAGCCTCACCTGTCCTGCCATGTCCYACTGGGCTGGGAGACACAAAAGCAGCTGAGAGCAATCCAACATTCCCAGTTCTGTTTCTTCCRAACTCAAACCTGGTGCAAAACTTCATCCATCCCTTCAGGGAAAYAAATTAGGTTTCACCTGCTCAATTCCAAACATTCTGGGATGAGAAGATTGTGCTAGACCAGGATGTTTTGCTGGTTGATTCCAGAGGCCTTTCCAACCCCAGCTATTCTTAAACTGCCCAAAACACAGGCAAGGGCCTCAGCAACCACATCTTGGGTATTTTTGCTCAGCTTTTAAAGTTCCCTGATCCTTTTCAAGGGCCGTTTCAGAATCCTCACATAGGGAAAAATGAGGTCTCAGGACCTGCTGGATGTCCCCAAATTCCCTCCCCAAACCCTGCAGCAGGTCACAGGAAAAAAACTGCCAAGGCTGAGTGGAAACATTCTATTTTTCATAAAAAAACATACAAAAACTGCTGCTTTTATCTCTAAACCCTCTAAGTCTTGCCTGCCACACCCCACATCTCTCCAGAACAGGGGATTTATTAACCTTAATATAATTGGAAAGATTAAGATCCACAGTTTAATTTGATTCTAGTGCAATCATGATTCTGGTCTTGTGGTATTTAGGTCACTGGGAGTAGCTCAGCAGAGGGAAAATTATGAGTAAGGGAAAGGTAAATTCTGTGCAATTTTAAGTCTTGAAAACAAAGTACCTTCCTTGCAGATGTTCTGCAAGGGAGCCTGAGTGTCATCATCATCTATTTATAAAAGGTGAAACACTGACCTCTTGTATAACACAGCTCAGATATATTATGGAAAGTAAAACAGAACTTAAAAGAAGCAAATCCATGTTTCAAAGAATTCCATGACTAAATTCACTTTTTCGTTAAAACTAAACCCACCTGATCTCCTGTTGGAGTTCACCTGACACCAGGTAGAGCTTGGGAAATGTTTCTTGCTCTGCTGATGTCTCCTTTGGTCCCAGGTCCCTTTCACTTGTCCCTCCTCCCTGAGCAGCTCCCCAGGTGCTGCAGGCACCA